TATAGGCTATTTAGCTATCAAAAGCATTAATTAGTAATCAAAATTAAGTGGTGAATATGGTAGGCTGTTCCCTACTAATATAATTTATAATAATAAACTTGAATAGGGGAGTAATTCAACCCAGACTACACCCTCTGCTTTATAAAATAATATCCTGCCAACTTGACATGACATTGTATTTTTTTTTCCTGACCAATACTGACATACTCGCTCAAACAAATCAATATTCTTCCTTTGATTCACTTTTTTTGGGAGGAAATAAGTTCATACGTCGATGTAAAAGCTGACCCTTCCAACCTCTCTGCCAAATGAATTTTTATATCTTCATGATAACAAGATAATTAAGGAATAATAAACTTTTCTTTAACTTTTTTTTTTTTTTTAACATTCCCCTGAACTTATGCACGGAGCCCTCATTACTGAGTTAGAAAAACAGTGATGTGCTGCTAAATATTAACCAACCAGCCCTTGGGGATGGGGGAATACTCTGATTTGTAGCATTCTCCCATTTCCATGGTTTAAATGCTCTCATTATGGCCAATTTTAAGGTATTGACATGATCTTACAAATGGAATGTTAAGAAGAGATGGACACAATATCTTGGGGCCAGTGTGAACCACTGTGAGAAAGACCACATGATGTCAAGGACAGGGTAGGAAGAAACACTTACAAGTTTCCATTTTTAAAAATTAAAACACTAGTTATTCTCTAAAATGAGAGTCTGAGTGACTGTTCATTACCACAATTTAACCATGTAAGTTCACCCCAAATTCTGAGTGACAAGACCCTGAGGCTCTGAAATTTTTCTCTTTCACCGCTCCGCCTCCACCATAAAAAGCAACAACAAAAAAAATTGACATATATGGTCATTTGTCCTGAGTTCCATGAGATTTGTAGTAGCCAAGGTGACCACACTATGATCAAGATATTAAAAAATTGGTTGGATGCAGTGGTGCATTTCTGTAATCCCAGGACTTTGGAAGGCCAAGGTGGGAGAATCACTTGAGGCCAGGAGTTCAAGACCAGCCTTGGTAACATAGTGGGATCCCGCTTCTATAAATTTTTTTTTTAAGTTAGCTGGGTATGGTAGTGCATGCCTGTCGTCCGAGTGGAAGCAGGAGGATTGCTTGAACCTGGGAGTTCGAGGCTGCAGTGAGCTATGATCACCACTGCACTCCAGCCTGGGTGACAGAGAGAGACTTCATCTCTTCACCATATGTAAATGGTAAATATAGATATATCCTTTTCCCAGATGATATATATATAATATATATGTTATATATAATATATATTTTATATATATATATAAAACCTGGGAGATATATATATATATCTCACCTTTTCACATGTTTTTTATATATATTCTTTTATATATAACATATATATAAAATATATAAAAATATATAATATATTTTATATAAGTATATATTATATATTTATATATTATATATTACAAATAAAATACATATATATAACATACAATATATATGTAATATATATTTATATTATATTTATATTATAATATATTATAAATATATATCTATATTATATTTTGACTACTAATTTTATATATATTTATATTGTATAAATATATTTATATTGTATAAATATATATATAATTAGTAGTCAAAGAGAGACTTTAGGCAGTCAAAGAGAGACATTGCCGTATCTCTTTATTATTTATATAAACATATATCTATATATATATAATCTGGGAAAATGAGAAGGCTCATAACACTGACCCTTGTAAATGTCAAGGAAGAGTCCTTGGCGTTTGGGTTGTGATTGCTAATTGGATGGGAATGGGTTGGTGGGGGAAGTGGGTGAGGAGATGTTTTAACCAGGAAAAAACAAACAAACAAAAACTATGAATGTGTGAAAAGAGACTTCTCACAGAAAGAAAGGAAGAGAACAGTACTGGTCACTCCCCACGCAGACAGAATGCCATGGAGTTGCTGTTTCTTGCCCATGAGTTTCATGACAATCTTCCTTCCCCTTCACATGCCAACTAAGCAGCAGCCAGCAGGACATTCCCTGACCGTGCTGCCCAGCCAGGCCTAGAGTCTGCCCCAAACGCAATCACAGATATTCCCAGGCTTGAATGCCATCCAGAGACCAGTCATTTGATGCAATTGCATGTGGTCTGACAAACAAACTCCCACCCAAACACGTTGTACTTAGGGAGTCTGAAATCTATATGATCACATCTCCCAGAACTCAGGCCCACTCTGACCACAGGATTCTTCCAAAGACAACACCGACAGAAGTGTGTGCAATTCCACCATATAATTTTTGTCTGGGAAGTGAAATATCTCCGTCGTTACATCATCTTCCTTAGCATAGTGATCCCTTAAAAGAAAAAGCCTAAATAAGATCCCTTCTCAAAGCCAACTATTAAAACAATCACTTTTAAATATTCTCTCCTCTCTTCCATGCTGTACAAGTACAGCTTTCACACAATTTCTCTTCTGATCCTCAAACAATGCATGGAGGTGTGTATTATTCCTGTGTCTTGGTCCAGCCAGGACTTCCTGCTCCCTTTTCCCCCCATTTCTGCAAAGGTGACATGGCCAGTCCGGCCAATTCACGTCTGAGAGATCGGCTTCCTGTGACAACCTTCACCCCCCTCCCCTGACCCATAGGCCTGACACAAAAGAGACTGCCGGAAACTCCCAACAACAGCCAAGCGGGTAGCCACAGTGTCCTGGAAAGGAATTCTAAGCCCACAACAGAGCGTTTCTCATCTAGTTTTTTCTTTTTTTTTTTAATGGGATTGGGGTTGGGGAGGGGTTGGCAGCCAGCCAAAGACGGGTGGCAGAATGATGAAATCATGCAAGCCCACAGCACCGAATGATGTTGTAGTGGAAATGGGGACAGGCTTTTGTGCTAACCAGAATGTTCCTGCATACAATCTCTGATTAATAATAGTGATGGCCCAGGAACAGCCATGGTAGTCAAAGAGAGACATTGCTTTATCTGTAATATTCTATTTTTTTAAAGCGTGTATATTCATGTATTAGTTATGTAATATAAGTTGTCTTGAAAAATGAAAAGAAAATGGCCATTGCTGCCACTTTGAGAGCCCTCAGATTCTGGGGTGTTGTGTGTGGGGGGCGGAGATTTCTAACTCCCTGCTTAATTATCTCAAAACACCCCATCCATTCAGGCCAGCCAGCCTTTGACTGCCCGCTACTTGCAAAGCCCAGTACTGCACTGCCTAACAAGCACAAAGCCCATGGGTCCCTCCAGGAAGGCAAGGGGTGTGGATCAGAAAGAGCTGGCTCTCAAATTGCCTGTGCCTGTGATTGGATGAGGAGGAGTTGAAGAAACAAACAGGCAATTCACCGTAACCAGAGACAAAGGAGGTAGGTTCTGTATCAGTGATGGCATAGGAGTCAGTCCTGAAGAACCGCTGGGATTTTGATGAGGAAGGGAAGAGGTGGTGTGGGTGGGACAGTCTGCAGGAGGAAACATCTTGGAAGAAAATTAGGATGTAGATGAAAAGCAACCTATGGTCACTTCTGATTCCACCCCCACGCCCTGTCCACAGGTTCCAGTCCTCTTAGATGTCCAATCTATACACCCATCTCCTGCCACCACCCCCATCCCATCTCAGCAGGAGACAATGCGTGAAAAGAAAGCTCTTCGTTTTTCATTCTTGATATTCACAGACTGCCCAGATACAGACAGGAGTGGGCAGTGAAGGTCAGAAGGATGAAGGAGCTTGCCTAGCCGATGAGGAAGGGAACAAGATAAGATGCAAACCTCGGTCTCTGACTCTTGGGCAAGTGCTCCTCCGCCCAACTAGCTGTTAAATGAGGTGGATGGGGTCTTGGTTAGGTACAGAGACAACTGAGTCAGATCAACTTGGTATATATCCTAGCTCTGATGCTGAGCTATTTACCTAGCCTGTCTCTACCTCCATTGTCTTTTCATTTTTCTTTTCTGAGGCAGAGTCTCACTCTGTCACTGCCTCTGTTTTCCATAGCAAAATAGAGTTAATAATCCTTACATGAGAGCTGTTGCACAGATGAAAACACAGACAACACCTACATAATGCTTAGTATATGCCTGGAACATAGAAATGCTGAAGCAGTCATTCCCTCTTCCCGCCGATCTCTGTGGTCATTAGTACCAGCACACACCACCTCTCATTTAGTGCCCGAATCTTAGAGCCTGCCTGGAGGCTGGAGCCATGCCGGGACATTTCCCTTAATCTTGCTAACCTCCTCAGAGAGGCGGCACCCATCCCATCGGCAGACTCCACGGGCATTCTCTGGGTCTGCTTGTCATCCCTCCAGATGCTGTTTGGAGTCTTTCTATTAGCACAGCTGTTTCTGGGATCTGGAAAAACTCTAAGGGCCCTGGTGAGGATAGACACCGAAGTGGGTCTGAGCTAACACCACCCTGCATCCCCACAGCATCCCTGGACACTGCAAAGTCCCCCTCACCATCTGGAGGTCCAGGAGCCCTTTTTAGCCCTTTTTTGCTTTTAGCAGAAGCAAAGAGCTTGTTCAGATCAAGAAGAGTGAGGCTTTGAGTCCCTCTATGTGCCATCCTATGTGCCAGGGACATGGACATGCGACTCTTCTCGTCCTCTGGCCTTTAGGGCTGTGGCCACCACCTTTCCATTCTCCCGAGCTGCCACAAGCAAGAGCTGGTGGGAATGAAAGGGGTTATTTTTTTCTTTTTCTTTTTTTTTTCTTAAGATGGAGTTTTACTTCTTTTTGCCCAGGCTGAAGTGAAATGATGCAATCTCAGCAGCATTCAAGCTCAACATGGCAAGTTCCCTCTTTCCTGCAGAGGGAGGACCAGAAGGGAGCAGAGATGGGGGACAAGGGTGGGAGGTTGATGGTTTGAAAAAGCGATGGAGACCCAGACACAGCAAAGCCAGCCAGCTGCGTGCGGTAAGGGAGCCAGCTTCTGCCCAGGAGAGGCCTGGCCTCAGGCTTGCACCCTCAGGGGGGTAGACAGCCTGTGACGGCAGCACAGCATGGCTGAGGGAGACAACAGGGGCTGGCCAGGCTGCAGAGGGACTTCCTGGGAGGCTCCAGCCACAGAAATCCTAAGCTGAGATTCTGGAGATCTTCTCCCTTCCTGCAGCTGTGGGCTGGGCCACGGAAACACTTTCAGTTTTGTTTCCTTGTCTGCAAGAAACGAAACTCAGCAGAAAGACTGAGCAGAGAGCAGAACATGGAAGAAGCCTTCTTGGTGTGCAGGAACTGGTAAGAAACACCTTCTCCAGCGGCAGACCCGGGCTGGATAGTGAGAGACGTGGATGAGATAGGGCTGTTGCCAAAGGGAGGAGAAAAATGGTTCCTGCACTTAGGAGAACAAGCAGCTGGAGACTGTGGGCCCCAAGAGTAGGAGGGTTTAAACTTAGTCATCTCTGGGTGAGGGTGAGCAGCATCACCTCCACTTCACTGCATCTGCTTTCCCCCAAATTTTAGGCTTTCGGGGACAATTCTGAAGCCAAATAGCCAGGACAGTTGGTTCCAACTGGGCTACTCTTACTTGTGAGATCTTGGGTTCTAATTTGGGGTTCTGATACTATGACCTTCACACCAATCTGTGAAAGAAAGGGCCCCACAGGCCAGGTGCGGTGGCTTACGCCTGCAATCCCAGCACTTTGGGAGGCCGAGGCAGTCAGATCATGAGGTCAGGAGTTTGAGACTAGCCTGACCAACACGGTGAAACCTTGTCTCTACTAAAAATACAAAAATTAGCCAGGCATGGTGGAATGTGCCTGTAATCCCAGCTACTCAGGAGGCTGAGGCAGATGAACTGCTTGAACCTGGGAGGCAGAGGTTACAGTGAGCAGAGATCGCGCCACTGCACTCCAGCCTGGCAACAAAGTCAGACTCTGTCTCAAAAAAAAAAAAAAGAAAGAAAGAAAGGGCCCCACAGAGATTCCCCAAGACTATTCTCACCCTCCTTGGAAAGGGAGCTGTGGGGCAGGGCAGGGAGGACAGAGCAGGGGGCTGGGACCACACCTCTAAGGGCGGGCGGAATCTGCCCCATCAAAAATCCCCATTCTTAAAGTTCCCTACCTGTGACAGGGACCTGAGTGGACCCTCCCCAGAGAGCTTTGCTCCAACCAGACCCTTCAAGTTCTCTGGTTTCTCAGCCAGCCCAGGAGGAGCAGGGGGACAAGGGACCAGGCTGGGAAGAAGAGAACAGAGGAAGGGAAGATGGCACTGCCTGTGTGCCCACTGCCTGGGCAAAGCGGAAGCAAAGAGCTTGTTTGGATCAGGAAGAATGAGGCTTTGACAGTCCCTCTCCGGGCACATCCCATGTGCCAGGGACATAGACATGCGACTCTTTTCGTCCTCTGGCCTTTAGGGCTGTGGCCACCACCTTTCCATTCTCCCGAGCTGCCACAAGCAAGAGTTGAAGGAAATGAAAGGTGTATTTTTCTTTCTTTTTCTTTCTTTCTTTCATTCTTTCTTTCTTTCCTTCATTCCCTCCCTCCCTCCCTCCTTCCTTCCTTCCTTCTTTCCTTCCTTCCTCCCTTCCTTCCTTCCTTCCTTTTTTTTTACTTGAGATGGAGTTTCACTTCTTTTTGCCCAGGCTGGAGTTCAACGACACAATCTCAGCTCACTGCAACCTCCGCCTCCTGGGTTCAAGTGATTCTCCTGCCTCAGCCTCCCTAGTAGCTGAGATTACAGGTGTGTGCCACTATGCCCGGCTAATTTTGTATTTTTTTTAGTAGAGGTGAGGTTTCATCATGTTGGCTAGGCTGGTCTCGAACTCCTGACCTCAGGTGATCCACCTGCCTCAGCCTCCCAAAGTGCTGGGATCACAGATGTGAGCCACTGCGCCTGGCCAAAAGGGGGCCTTTCTCGGTGAAGAGGACGGTTAGAGAAAAATGCCCTGCCCAGGAAGTGGGAGGCTCAGAACGCTTCCTTCACTGTGGACTCCAGGAAGAACCTCGGAGCTTCTGTGGGTTACTGCAGGTGCACCTGGAGGCAGGAGAGACTTGGGAAGCTCTCGCTTTGGAGATTCTAGCAGTTGGCATGGTCCGGGCAGGAAGCGTGAGCCTTGCAGGGCTGCATTCCTAACACTGTGGACCAAACAGGGGCAGCAATAAACAAGAAAAAACCTTCAAGAGAATTTGGCACTTCTCTCAAATTATTTAAATTGAAAGATTTAAATTATTTACAATGAAATGTTATTTCATTTTAAAAACAGCCTTATAGAGGTATAATTGACCTACAATAAACCGCACATTCTATAGCAATTGATAAGTTTGGGCCTATGTTATATACATCTGTGAAACACCATCCCCGTAATTGAGATAATGAAGCTCCCCATCACCCCCAAATCTCCCCTGTGCCCCTTTTGTAATTCCTCCCTCCTGCTCCTCCCCAGGCCCCACCCCAGCAATGTAAGAGCTCTGTGGAACATCCTTACAGTTATTCAATGATGATGTTCTGTTCTAATTTTGACCCAACACAGGGAGTGGGGGCAGGTGGTGTCATCATCATCACATGTTCAGTGCTTAAGGCCTCTGGAGATCTAGTCCCGGGTGGGAAATACAGCTCCATGTTTCATAATAGGAAAATAAGTTTATTTTCCTATCTCGCCTCCTTGACCCTGTAGCAAAAGAAATGTAGCCTCTGCCCACTTTGCCCTCCACGAGGTGCACTGCTTGCGGTTCCTGGTCCTGTGCCCGGAGTGTGAGGAGCCTGTCCCCAGGGAAAAGATGGAGGAACACTGCAAGGATGAGCACCAGCAGGTGAGCAGGTGGCAGGGAGGATGGAGTCCGGGAGTCCGAGGCAAAGATGCCTGCAGGAGAGATGGGGTTGGGAGTTGGGGCAAGGGTCCAGTCCTCCCTGCGGGAGAGATGGGGTCTGGGAGTCAGGGAGTGGGGCCAGCCTTGCCTACAGGAGAGATGGGGTCTGGGAGTTGGGGTGAGGGTCCAGTCCTCCCTGCAGAAGAGATGGGGTCCTGGAGTTGGGGTGAGGGTCCAGTCCTCCCTGCAGAAGAGATGGGGTCCTGGAGTTGGGGCAAGAACTGGGGACTTAAGGCAGGAGTCCAGTCCCCCAGGCAGAGACTCACTTGAGGGCCATGGGAAATCATTTAGCTCCTTCACAGGAAGGCCCATGGGCAGGAAATGTTAATCCTGCCTTTTTCATGCTAATCTGAACCTACCTCCAATTTTCCCATCTCCAGTCCTTTCCCTACAGGCTTATGGGTCTAGCATAGGCAAGAGGATCTGGTTTCAGGAAAGATAGGCTCTTCTCTTGAGACCAGTAAAGAGGGGACGTGAAAAGGAAGGCCCCTGAAGGCAGTCAGGTCGAGCTTTGTTTCCTGCCTTTTCATGTCCCTTCCTCCTGGGTTCCTGATCTGTCTCTCTGGAGATACTCAAGCTCAGGCATCCATTTCAACTCAGACTGGTCTGACAAATACTTCTTGAACGCTGGGCTGGGCGCTAGAGAGAGACTGGGGTAGCCACACTGGATCCCTGCCCTCTAGGAGTTCACAGACTCCAACCTGGAACATTGTGAGCCAAAGTGAATGTGGGACAGGCCCAGAGTGCTGGGTGGAACCCACATCTGGGGTGTGTGTGTGTGTGTGTGTGTGTGTGTGTGTGTGTGTGTAGGTTGGGTGTACGATGTGTCAGAAGAGCATACAGAAGTCCTCACTGGCGTTTCATGAGGTAAGAGCTCCATGTGATTTCTCCTTTACAGCCAAATAGGCCAACCTGAGAAAAGGAGAGGAAGGGGAAAGGGGAGGCCCATAGTAGAGAATTCCACCTGATCACTCTTTACACCCCATCGGGCTTGGAGAGCAGTAGAGAACTAGCCCACTGCATGACACATGACCTCCTGTCCCCCAGATACTGGCCAGAAGGGCTTTCCATGGTCCATGAGTCCAAGAGAGCTCAGATCGCCCTAGGGCAGTCCCTCACTCTGGCCCTTCTCATCTGCTATCTCTTATTGGCTGCAATTCCATAGGGAATTGGGCACACGTCCTTGATCTGTCTGCAGTCAAAGAGGCCAGTGATCATGCCCTTCCTGCTGCCTCCCACAGGCCAATGATTGCCAGGAACACACTGCTGAGTGTAAGTTCTGCGAGCTGGACGTGCAGCTCAGCAGGCTGGAGCTCCACGAGTCCCGCTGTGGCAGGCAGACGGAGCTCTGCCGGGGCTGTGGCCAGTTCATCACGCGCCGGGTACTCGCCAAGCACACACGTTTCTGTTGGAGTGAACAGGCCCAGCTCAGGAAAGGTGAGCACACAAACTGGGGTAGAAGAGAGACGTTCTGAGGGCCAGAGCATTTCCTGGATGGGATGTGAGGATTGGAAGCTCTCAGCAGCATGGATGACAAGTGTATTTGCTGTGTAGGTCTCAATTCATCCAGCTATTCTCATTCTAAACCATGCATTAGAGTGGCCTTCCTGTGTGTCTGCCATGGTCTTCAAATGACTGGTCCAGGGAGACCAGGGGGCTGAGGCTAGAGCCTGCCAGCCACAAAGTTGAGTAAGGAGGCCACGGGGTGTCCTAGGAAACAGGAGGCTTTCTTTGAATGCCTCCGGCACAGTCCTAGCCTGGCAGAGATCCATTGATTTCTCATCCTCTTACAGATGAGAAATCTACACACAGAATAAAGCAGGGGCTTGCTAGAGGCAGAAATAAGACTGGACTTTCACATTTTCCACCAAATCTAGGGCTTTTCTCATTATCAGCAATGGCCAGAAGGGACCTAGCTATAACTCCTGGCCTTGGAGCCTATGTATTGGCTCTCTGGTACCATTTTATGTTCACTTGACTCAAATGCCTCTTTACAAGGGTATATTTAGTGTCACTGTCACATAGTCATCAATGTGACAGATCCTTTGCTGTCTTTGCTGGTTGTTTTGGTAACATGGTAACATAAGAGACAGCCTAAAACTCCCCAGACAGTAACTCTCTCCTGATAAACAATCTACTCGAGGTCAAAACTGGCCAGTGAAAAACTGAAAAGTGTGAGATTCATGTACATTTCCTTCATCCAGCATGGCTGGACTTCAACAGAACAAAACACAGTCTTCCACACAACTTCAACACAACACAACCCAACACAGCTTCAACACCATCAACAAAGATGTGTTCAACCAACACCTGGTCCGATCACAGAGCCTGGAAACTGGTGATGAAGAGCAGTTAGATTGGAGAGGATTGGCATCGGTGGCTACAGTTCCAGTCATCTCCTTAGAAAGCAGTCCCGCTCCGGGAAGCTGTCTCTCTATCAGGGTTGCTGCTGCCCTAACTGCACCTCTGTGGCCATAAAGGAAATGATGTGGGTGACTCTGCCAAGAGCTGCCTGCGTAGTCAAGGATGCCGGCAGTGCAGGAAAGTCAAAGCCAGACAGGCCCGGGGGCAGTTCATGCTCATGAGTACAGGCCATATAGACAGCTGTGGGTGAGCTGGGCTAGCCATTGTCAAGGGCAATCATTTGTGGTGTTGTTTCTGTGTTTATTCAGAGGAAAGAATTTCGGCACCTGAAAGGGAAATCCACTGTTATCATTGCAACCAAAGGATTCCAGAAAATAAGTATTTCCACCATATGGTGAGTAGCAGTTAGTAATTTTCTAATGCTGCCAGTAATTAGTCCACATTCTGAAAAGTAGGATAGGAAAGGCAGATTCTGGGCCCAATTTTGCGTAGCATGAATATTAAAGGATCCCATGTATATATATATATATATTTTTTTTTTTTGCTTTGTTCAAAAAGATATTTTAGTGACTAGCTTAGGCTAATCGAGCACACACAATTGGTCTTCCTTTGTGCCCAGCCCTTGAGGGGGCCTCTCACCACTCCCAATAGCCGCAATCACCTCTGACCATCTCCAACCTTCATGGCCTGGACATTGCAAATTTGGTCCTCAGTAGGGCCTGTCTTACTGCTTTCTGTCCCATGTGGGAGTCTTCTCTATTAGACTGTGAGCTTCCTGAAAAACTGAATGACTTTTTCCATTTTCTTGGTATCAGGGGTTGGTGCAAAAAGAGGACTCTATAGAGATGCAGTCATGTGATTGACCGACGGACTGATTTTGTCTGGGAACACTCAGACTCTTCCCTCCATAGCCCTAAGCGCCTTTTAGTGCACTGCTGTGCCGAGTTGCTCCCTTCTTTTGGACAGAATGGAGCATTTCTCCTTTGGGAGACTTACCAAGGCTTCTCTCCAAGGAACTCATCTCCTTCTCCTTGGACAGAAAGTTGTTTACTTTCTTAATACTTCTGTTCCTAGAACTACAGAATATCAAAACTAAAGCACCCATAGAGATGATCCAGCTCTTTGCTTTTTTGTTTTGTTTTTACTAGTGTGGGAAACCACATATAATGTAAAACTTGCCACTACTGTAGAGACAGTTGTTACATTCACAATGTTGTGCAATCTAGTTCTAGAATATTTTCATCCTCCCAAAAAGAAATCCTGTACCCATTTGCAGATACTATCCATTCCCCCATCTTCCCAGTTCCTGGCAACCACTAATCTACTTTCTATCTCTATGGATTTGTCTGTTCTGGACATTTCACGTCAATGGAGTCATGTAACATGTGGTCTTATGTAACCATCTTCTTTCACTTAGCATAACATTTTCAAGGTTCACCCGTGTTGTATTTGTGACAAATATCATATCAGCACTTTATTCCTTTTAATGGACTTTTTTTTTTTTGAGACAGGGTCTCACTCTGTCGCCCAGGCTGGAGTGTAGTGGCACAATCTTGGCTCACTGCAGCCTCTGCCTCCTGGATTCAAGCTGTTCTCCTGCCTCAGCCTCCTGAGTAGCTGGGACTACAGGTGCCTGACACTGTGCCTGTGTAAATTTTGTATTTTTTTTTAAGTAGAGATGGGGTTTTACTACATTGGCCAGGCTGGTCTCAAACTCCTGACCTCAGGTGATCCGCCCATGTCGGCCTCCCAGAGTTAGTGGCCTTTTTATGGTCATCCTACATTTTGTTTCTCTACTTGTTGATAAACATTTGAATTGTTTCCACCTTTCAGTGTGCTTTTTGAAGTGGAGTCTGTGGACCAGCAGCAGCATCAGCATCACCTGGAATCCTGTTAGAAATGCAGAATCTCAGGCCCTCCCCTTAGAAATGCTAAATCAGAATATGCAGAGTCACATGATTTCACAGGCATTTCAAGTCTGAGAAGCGCTGCCCCAGCCACGTGATTCTCAGCCTCAGATGTACATGGAAATCACCTACTGATTTGTTTTCCTCAGTACTGATATCTGTTAGATTCTATAAGTGGTCCGTGTCTTCTATTTGAATGAGAAGATACTTGGTGAGCACCAAAACAAGAGTGAAGCTGACTACTTCCCTTCAAATGTTCAGCCTGGCAACCAAGGCACCTACACACTTATTGGAAGGCTTCAGGGAGCTGGGGAGCTCTAATACACATGGAAGTGGATTTGTGCTTAGCAACTCTGAATTTTAGTTCTGCCCTGCCCGTTACTGGCTGTGTAACCTCTCTGAGCTTCTTTCTTCTTTTGGGGAAAATGGGGATAATGGTTTATCTCCTTGTTCAGGAAAAGAAGACATCCACGACCAGCCAGCACCAGAGCTCTCTCCTTGGCAGCATCCACACTCACTCGCTTTGCCTTCCCACCTCTTAACCACAGAGGAGCTTTCTATGCTCCTATCTAAAGCCTATCCCCTCCTACTGGTTGGTATACTATATCCTTTCTTTTTGCCTACACAAGGTCACACAAGGTTGTTGCTACACTGCTCCAGCAATTCTCCCTTCTCTGTCCGGCAACAGGGAGAGGTTAAAGGAGCTGTACACATAGGCAACAACAAAGTCTCAAAACTCTAGGATGTCCTAACATTTGTTATGATAAGTTTTTAAAGGGCTGCCACTATTGAATATTTAGATATCAATGGTGAATCTTTGGCCTTGCACAAAAAGAATCTTTTTGAATTTGAGAATTAAGGATTGAAATCATGTATACTAGGTGGTTTTGTGGTTTTCAGTCTTTAACTTTTTATTAACATGACCCCAAACCAGAAAAACATAAAGTACTTCTGACCCCATTTCCTACAAGCTACCATCTTGTTTCTTTGTAGAAAAACATTTGAACCAGTTGTCTCTAGTCACGGCCTCCATCTTTTCTTCTCCCATTCTTATTCCCACTCCAATCTGACTCTTATGCTCACCCCGTCCAATGTTACCAAATCTGCTCTTGTCAAAATCAATTACATCTGCATTCCTAAATCCAGTGCTTAGTTCTCAGTCCTCAGTTTATGGGGAGCATTTACTGCTCATCACTCCCTCTTCCTCAGTGCACTTTCTTAGCCTCCAGGGTACCACACTCTTGTGGTTTTCAATAACCTTGGTGGTCTCTCATTCTCTATCTCTCCAACCTCTTAATTATGGGGGGAAGCAGGGCTCAGTCTCTGGTCTCTTCTCTACCTATATTCACTATCTTTATATTTCATCCAACTTCCTGATTTTTATTTTTTTTAATTTTTATTTATTTTTTTTCTTCCTGATTTTTATAAATGCCATATGTAGCCAGACACTTCCAAATTTATATCATAGTCTGAGCTTTTCTCCCCAAACTCTAGATTTGTATGTTACTATTTACTGCATCTTCACTTGAATGCTTGATAGACATCTTAAATGTAATACATCTGAAATGGAATCCTCTGTCCCACAGCTTGGCCCATCTCAGCTGATGGCAACTCTATCCTTCCAGTCGTTTAGGCCAAAATCTCAGGTTCACTCTCAACTTCTCTAGCCCTCCGTGTTGCTACCCTGGTGTGAACCATCATCTTCTCAAGCCCAGATGCTGCAGGAGTCTCCTAAGTGGTCTCCCTACTTGTCACTTTCCCCCTACAGTCTATCCTCATCACAGTGGTCAACGTGATCCCTTAAAAATACAAGTCTTGTGTGGCTCCTCTGTTCAGATCTCTGTACTCATTCTTGCCCCATTTTATGCAAACTCAACACTACAATAGCCTTAGAGATCTATGTCATCTTTGCCTCCCTTCCTACCTCATCACGTCTTTGATCTCATGTACTACTCCTGTTCAGCTCACTGGCCTCCTGGTTTTCTTGAGCATACTCCGCCCTACGGCCTTTTCTCTGGCTACTGCCTCTGCCTGGGAGCCACCTCCTTACCTTCCCCACCTTATTCCCAGAGCTAACTCTCTCACTTCTCTCAAGTCTTTGCCCGGATGGCACCTTCTTCAGGTGATATACCACAACAATCTGTTTAAAATTGCAACGCCCTCTCCATCACATATTCACCACCCCCTGACCTTCTTCTATTTTTTTTCATAGCCTTTATAAACTTCTAACATATTATCTAATTTACTTACTTATGGCCCTTGTGGTTTCCCACCACCCCAGTAAAATTATAAGCCCCACTGCTCCCCTTTATGCTAACTACTCCCTAGACACAAATACTCTACTTTCACTTTGAGCTGTTTCTTCTGGTAATCACCTTCATATGTCTAAAGCACCTGCTTATATATTTTTTCAATTTAGATATTACCTGTTGACTCAAAAGGATTTAGGAATATGGATTTCACTTTTTTTATACCACCCATCCCACACACATACCTCCAAAGTTCTTCATTTCATCCTTCCAATTTATTAACTTCACTCATTCTGGTTAAATATTCAATATTACATTGATCTAACCATGTAAACATTATACATGGTTTTCCACACGAACTGTGATTATGCGTGCTTTCTCCTACAACTTGTTTTCCCTGGACTTAATAATTGTTTTGGCTTTTCATTTGTTCACTAAAAATTAAATTGATTATAAAAAATTTCAAACAAATATGAAACTAGAAAGTTAATACAATAAACCCTCATGTATTCACTCCTCAGATACAAGAGTTGTTGTTCTGAGCAGGGTGAATAAAAATAAATCTACCCTTAGATACATTACTGGTAAAAGGCAAAGCTTGATTTCTTTGAACTCAACCAAATAAGGAGATTACAAGCAAAGGAATGGCAATTTGGCTGAAGCAAATATATCAACAACATAATAGAAGTGGGTATGCAGTGGAATAATCTTCAAAGTGCTAAGAGAAAATAGCTGCTAATATGTAGAAATCAAAAGTTTTCCATACCTGAACTATTCTTTTCGTTTGTTTTTTTTTAAAGTATGATAAAGCAAATCCATGATATCCTGTTATTTCACCATCATTCTTAAATAGCTCAAAAATACAGTCATTTACTTAATCGCAATGCCTTTACCACTCCAATGATATTAACAATAATCTTTCCCCCATTGTTTTGGGGCCCTGCATTTATCATTCTTGTTCATTACTACCGCTGGTGCTGCTGCTGCTTTCTCCTCCATTGTCTTCTATTGCATTGAGCAAAATGTCTTTATTCTCTTTCTTCTTTTCTACTGATTCAGCAATTTTACTCTCTATTTCTATCATTTCAGTAGCTACCCTTAAGATTTTAATATGAATACTTGACTTAATAAAGTCTAAAGTTAATAATTAGCTCTACTCTTCTTACAAATAGTATTCCGATTTGAGAACACAGTAACGCAGATCCTCTACTCCTATCTTACATGAAAATGCTGCCAGA